AGCATCAGTGTAGCTCTGAATGCTCATGAAACAAATAACCATGAGCCGAGGACCATCTGTAACTGCATCAAGCTAGGCAAGCTGAAGAACTGTAGGTGGTCCATTACGATCTGCCTTGGAAAAGAATGAAATATACAGTTCTCCTTCACACACTTGCTCTGCGTCAATCTCCCCGAAATTCACAAATGTAGAGGCATTCCTGGAACAACTGAGTTGAAAGGGATTTTGGAGGTCTTCTGTCCCTCCCAAGCAGGAGACCTTATACCATTTCAGACAAATAGTTGTCCAATCTCTTCTTGAAAACCTTCAGTAATGGAGCATCCACAACTTCTGGAGGCAAGCTATTTCATTGGTTGATTGCTCTCACTGTCAGGAAATTTCTCCTCAGTTCTAGGTTGCTTCTCTCTTTGATTAGTTTCCATTCATTGCTTCTTGTCCTGCCTTCAGGTGCTTTGGAGAATACGTTGACCCTCTCTTCTTTCTGGCATCCCCTTAGATAACGCTGCTATCATGTTCCCTCTAGTCCTTCTTTTCATTAAACGAGACATACCCAGTTCCTGCAACCATTCTTAATGTGATTTAGCCTCCAGTCTTGGTTGTTCTTCTCTGAAATCTAGAGTCTCAAGATCCTGTACGATGTAAAAGGATCTTAGTATGCTGGCTTCTAACAAGGTCCGTTATGGGTTGAAAATCAGGTCTCTTTTCCCACAGCACAATGCCAGTGAACTACAATAGTGAACAATAAACGTCCTTGCAGAAGGAAAGAATATTCCAGAGCTTCCTCCATCCTCTGGAGAAATGAGATGCTGTGGCTGGTACACAAAGTGAGACGTAGGAGGGAAAAAGGGAGTAAGAGCTCACAAGTACGAGATCAATCTATGAGGTGATGAATCTGATCCGCCAAAGGTCTTCACACATTCTCACTTGGCACATCCTAGGCCTGCCAACTCAACACCCTCTAGCCACTGCAGCTGTACAAGAGAGTACAAACACACACACGTTGAATGTGACTTTGCACAGAGACGCATACTGTGCCTACTTTTTAAAATAGCAATAGACTTATATATTGCTCCATAGCTCTTTACAGCCCTCTACAGCGGTTTACAGAGTCAGCATATTCTCCTCAATGATCTAAGTCCTCATATTTACTGATCTTGGAAGGATGGAAGGCTGAGTCAACCTTGAGTCGGTCAGGATTGAACTTCTGGCAGTTGGCAGAATTAGCCTGCAATACTGCATTCTAAGAATTGTGCCACAATGAGAGGGAGGGAGGGAGGGAGGGAGGGAGGGAGGGAGGAAGGAAGGAAGGAAGGAAGGAAGGAAGGAAGGAAGGAAGGAAGGAAGGAAGGAAGGAAGGAAGGAAGGAAGGAAGGAATATTTACCGACCTTGGAAGGATGGAAGGCTGAGTCAACCTTGAGTCGGTCAGGATCGAACTCCTGGCAGTGGGCAGAATTAGCCTACAATACTTCATTCTAACCACGGCACTACCACCTGTTCTCCAGTAAACGAAAAACCAGTCAAGGCTCTTCAGCTTTGCAAGTTGCTTATTTCAACAAAAGGAGAAGCTTCGGCAGTCCAACCTTTGTATTCCTCTCCAGGGAAAAGAAGAGAACTGCTGATGCTCGGTCAACCTTTATTCTTTTGGGTCACCGTTACTCTAGAGGGACTCCAATCTAGGTTAATTGAAATGAGCTGATCTGTACTTTTCTCTTAACACTGTGCAGTAATTGTCATGATCGGGTACTTTCACACCCAATGCAATTTTCCTGATTTCTTTCTTTCTTTCTTTCTTTCTTTCTTTCTTTCTTTCTTTCTTTCTTTCTTTCTTTCTTTCTTTCTTTCTTTCTTTCTTTCTTTCTCTTTCTTTCTTTCTTCTCTTTCTCTCTCTCTTTCTTTCTTTCTTTCTTTCTTTCTTTCTTTCTTTCTTTCTTTCTTTCTTTCTTTCTTTCTTGATGCAAACCTATATGAATCTTTTTTTCTAGTCCTTGTTGTTGAAATCCTTACCAGGAGAAAGATGTTCAGAAGCATTTTTTGACATGTGCAAACGCAGCTCTGCTTCTTGCACCACTGCTGCCTATTTCTAAACAACTACCTAGGGATGAGATTATTAAAGCCAACATGCAAATTAGTCCTGTGGTTTTTCTTCTTCTTCTCTGAAGCTAATAAGGCAAAGGCAGGAATGCTTCATTCAGGACCACAGCTGGTGAAAGAAGGATTAAGCCACCCTTTCCCACGTGTTATACAGCCCCGGTGAACAACCAGACGGCATTCGTGTATTTATTTAACAGATTTCTAGACCACCTAACAGCCACAGCTTCCTGGTGGGTAAATGCATTCATTAAAAATAGGCACAATAACACCAAACATTGTAAATAATAAAAGCAGCAGTGTGGGAGAGATTAAAAAAAAACACAACCCCACAACTACAAATAACAAATATAGCAGATATAATAAAATGGGCAACGGAGGCAACGTTTATTCATTCTGCAATGGCTTCCTAATATGTTTGGGGAAACAGAGAAGTCTTTACGTGGGGCTAGAATTGCCCCAATTTATAGTAAGGTGGTACTCCCTGAATAGGCCAACCCCATCACAAAGCTTCTCGTGGGGAAATCCACCTTGCCTTGCTAGAGGAAGAAAAAAATATTATCATTATTATTAATAATAGCAGTAATAATAGTAATAGTAATAATAATAAAGTTGGAAGGGACCTTGGAGGTCATCTAGTCCAACCCCCTGCTCAGGCAGGAAACCCTATACCATTTCAGACAAATGGCTGTCCAATCTTTTCTGAAAAACCTCCAGTGATGGGCCACCCACAACTTCTGGAGGCAAGTTGTTCCACTGGTTAATTAATTAATAATAATAAATATGGAAGGGACCTTGGAGGCCATCTAGTTCAACCGCCTCCTCAGGCAGGAAGCCCTACACCATTTCAGACAAATGGCTGTCCAGTCTCTTCTTAAAAACTTCCAGCGTTGGAGCATTCACCGCTTCTGGAGGCAGGTTGTTCCACTGGTTAATTGTTCTAACTGTCAGGAAGTTTCTCCTTAGTTCTAGGTTGCTTCTCTCCTTGATTAGTTTCCATCCATTGCTTCTTGTCCTGCCTTCAGGCGCTTTGGAGAACAGCTTGACTCCGTCTTCTTTGTGGCAGCCCCTGAGATATTGGAACACTGCTATCCTGTCCCCCCTCGTCCTTCTCGTCATTAAACTACACATACCCAATTCCAGCAACCGTTCCTTATATATTTTAGCCTCCAGTCCCCTGATCATCTTTGCTGAAGAAATCTTTCAAGAGAAGATTCTATCTCCACTGAGATAAGAGCTAATCTGATTTGAACAGATGTATTCTGGCTGCCAAAGTACACTGAACAGTTATTTTGCATTAAGAGATTGCCTACCGTTTGCATCATCTGGTTAGCCAAGGTAACCTGGAAACCAATTCTCAACCTATTTACTCCCCAGTTTGGAAACAAAATTGTCCAGAAGACAAATAACTATTGTCCAAAACTTGAGCATCCTACAATAAAAAGATAACCTGATGAACTCTTCTTGTTCCACCTTTATATATTTCTCCTTAAATACCATAATCCTGGTGTTGCTGGATTCAGCAGTGGGCAAACTATGGTTTCAAACTACATCCAGAGATCTTTACCAAGGACCACTGCCCAAAATTGTTGGCCCTGTATTTTTTAAAACTGTATCAATTTATCACATGTGTTTATTGATTTGTTCATTTGGTACACTACCATGTTCAGACAAGACTTCCAGCCATACAAATTATAATATTCAGAAAAACACCACTCGCATAAATACTATAAAGCCATTCATGTACAATATAATGATAGCCTAATCTAAATAATCTAGCCCACTACTATCATTCTTACAAAACACCTCTATCTTTATCCACTCTCAGAAAACCTCCAGACTAAGTGCCAACTTTACATGGGACGTTATAAAGTTTCCTTCAAGATGAGCAACTCTTTTGTTAGCACAGGGCTATATCCATGGAGTTTTCTTCGCAACAATACCAAAATGGTTGCCACTGTCTCATTCTGGGATGCCGTTTTGACTTCCCTGTTAAGTCTACATTCCTGGGACTCCTAAAATCTCCAACTCCAATTAATCAATCTAACACAGTGGTCCTCAACCTTTCTAATGCCGCGACCCCATAATACAGTTCCCCATGTTGTGGTGACCCCCAACCACTTATACATCACCGGGTGCCAAGGGCATGGCCAAAGAAAAGGGGGAAAAAATGGCGGACAGCCTTGTTTGGCGACCCCTGTGAAATGGTCGTTCGACCCCAAATGGGGTCCCGACCCGCAGGTTGAGAACCACTGATCTAACAGAATAAGAGTTGAAAGGGACCTTGGAGGTCTTCAAGTCCAACCCCCTGTTCAGGCAGGAGATCCTATACCATTTCAGATAAATGGCTGTCCAATCTCTTCTTAAAAACCTCCAGTGTTGGAGCACCCACAACTTCTGGAAACAAGTTATTCCACGGATTAATTGTTCTGTCAGAAATTTCTCCTTAGTTCTGGGTTGGTTCTTTCCTTGATTAGTTTCCATCCATTGCTTCCTGTTTTGCCTTCAGATGCTTTGGAGAATAGGTTGACCCCTCTTCTTTGTGGCCCCCCACTAAGATATTGGAACACTCCTATCATGTCAGTACTTATTTTCATTAAACTAGACATACCCAATTCCTGCAAGTGTTCTTATATTTTAGCCTCCAGTCCCCTAATCATCTTTGTTGCTCTTCTCTGCACTCTTTCCAGAGTCTCAACATCCTTTTTACACTGTGGCAACCAAAACGGGATGCAATGTTCCATGTGTGGCCTTACCGAGACATTATAAAGTAGTATTAACGCTCCACGTGATCTTGATTCTATCCCTCTGTTAATGCAGACTAGTACATGGGACTTCCATTATGGATGAGTTGGCCCCAACCAAGTGGTATCCCCAGTTCTACAAGCCATGCCAGAGGTTATCTGGTTACCTTGGTTCCATCCACACTGATTATTCGATAGCTGTTCCTTGTGCCGTCATAGAAGTAGGAAACAGTAACTGCTTGTTTGCTCGCAGGAACCCAGTTCTTCTTGGTGGTGGGGTCAATTTGGAAGACATGTGCTCTGGTGGTGAAGATGGGCTGTTCTCTGGAAGAGGGAGGGACAAGAGAAATGGAATGAGGAATGACTTTGTGACAGATGAAAATGCCTGCAGTCTACACCTGAACAAGGAACGCAGATTAAGTCAACCCTAAAATATGGGAAGGGGACAACAATTCAAGATAAATATTCAAGAGTACAAGCAAAAGAGCCAATGCTTCTAGACCAGTGGTTCTCAACCTTTTTAATGCCGTGACCCCCAACCGGTCGTAAGTCGAGGACTACTCAACCGGTCGTATGTCGAGGGCTACTCAACTGGTGCAGCACCGTTTGCAGAATGGGGCTTTTGGCGGGCTCAGCAGGGCAGAGACAGCCTGGACAATTCCTATTGGCTTTTGAAAGCCAATAGAATTAGACTCTATTCAAGAGAGTCTATTCTATTGGCTTTCAAAAGCCAATAGAATAAAAGGGAGGAGCACAGCTAAGGAAAAGGAGGAAAAAAATGGCAGACTGCGTTGTTTGGCGACCCCCGTGAAATGGTCGTTCGACCCCAAATGAGGTCCCGACCTACAGGTTGAGAACCACTGCTCTATACTGAGACATCATCAAAGATTTTGGTTCCTTCCAGGACATGCCCAACCCCTGAGAGTCCAATGAGTCTAGTTTTTAATATTTCCCATGAGATTAGGAGAAACCAAATGCCACAGACAAATGTATCGGCTCTGTCTCTCCGATTTCAAACCCCCAGCTGTTTATGAATTCACAATTTCTTTGAACTGCAAGCATCCTCCTCCTTCCTTCTTCCCTTTTTTCCTTGCATAAGATTATCTTCATTAATTTCTAAGGCCTGGAATGCAGCTTTTCTCTTATCTTAGCTTTCACAATGCCAATAAGCTCACACATCCAGCTAGCCAAACTGTGGTGTTTTTTTCCAACTGCCCATCTTTAGAATCTGTCCACTAAATAGGTAATATTGCCCGGGCGGTAAATCTCCCTATATTACTACTGGGCATGTCACAACACCCAGAACTCATACCCTCATGTATTTTTGTACCACCAGTCATTTCAGGTCTCTGGACCAGCTGAGTGTACATTTCGAAATGCATCCAGAATTCCTGTTTGAGGCTGACAAGGAGATCCTCTTTGAAAATTGCATCGCTGTTTATTATCTTCTTACAGAAGGAATTTTTGAGACTTCCCGACCACAGAAATGACCAGCTTCACACATGCTTACTAGATCTGGATCGAGTGTTGGTCAAACTACAGAGGAAACTTTCATCTATTTCCCTAATCAGTAATGAGTGATTTACATAAGACACTACATTAAAAAAAAAAACAAGCCATATTCTGCTTTTTCGTAAAGCATGACCCGGGCCATCTTGAAAGCCATTGTCCCAATACACCAAAGCTTCAGGAATTTGCCCTCAAGCACCCCAGAATGGGAAATAACAGCTCCCCTAAATCTGCATAGAAAAGGAGATAGAAAGAAAAAATCTGAAGATAGTAGCTTAGGATGGGGGGGGAAAAAATGAAAATTGTATTCCTTCGCAGTGAGATATATAGCAAGCCTGACAGGAGCACTAAGCACCAGGAGTCACAAATTCTCACTGGATGATTCCCTAAGCTAGACACATTTGTCAGCCTAAAACTAAGTCATTCTGTGGTCGTTAAGGAATAAAATAAAACAAAATGAGACTCACAGAGCTCCTTCGAAGGATGGCAATGGAATAAATCTGTCAAAAACATTTAGGATCAGAAGCAGGAAGTTTCTACAACCGTTCTTTTTCAGGAGAACCGTTTGAGAGAGAGGAGGAATTCTAGAAGAGTTTTAAAAGCACCAATTGTGAATATCTCAGCAAAATGCTGTCATTCGCCCCCCCCCCCACCACCCCCAAAACCATTAGGAACACCCCATCAGAGTCTCCAAAGTCATGTGGCCAAAAAGGATCTGGAGGCAGCCCACGCCAAGCTCTTCCACCAAAGCTGCCACCAAATTACAGTCTGGGGACAACTTTTGAATCTGTCAGAAGAAGGAGATTAGTCCTAGAGACGCTGCAGGATGTGTCCCTGTTAACGGCCTTTAATTCATGTAATTTAATTCAATCTAAATGCAAATTAAACTACACCCCTGGCCCTTTTCTGAGCACAATCCTTTGAGCTCGTTGGCCCAAAAAGATGTGGCTACGGAACTATCTCAGGCAAGTAGCAACGCTCTGCAGAGTCAAGTAAAGCCAAAGTATTTCAGAAGCAAGGGAGATCTCCATTTATTAGCCCCAGAGCTTTTTGGACAGAAAGCTGTAAGACCAAATAGGAGATTGCAAGATGCCAAACTGCTGCAAAGGCCAAAGGCTCTGCCATTTTGGTTTAAGGGTGTGGTTATCCCTCACCTCCAGTTCCTCCTGTCTTCAAACGAACCGTCTCCAAATCCACATGAATGAACATCTTGCAAATGTGGTCTAACATATCATCAACCAAGTTGCTATTTTGGCTTGGCTGTTATTTGAACAATTTTTTAAAGTTTTTTCTCTAGCTTTGGCTTTATTTTGCTGTAACCTTTTTTTTTAACGTCTATTTTTTTTCTTTTCATAGAGGAAGTCCTCAACTTACAACTGCAACAGAGATCAGAATTTCCGCGGCCGAGCAAGGCGGTTGTTAAAGTGATTCACACCCATTTTTACCTTTCTGGCCACGATTGTGAAGTAAATCGTGGCAGTCGTTAACTGAACCCCATGTCCCTCATTGACTTTGCTTGTTGGGAGTTGGCTGGGAACGGCACAGATGGTGATCGCATGATGTGTGGGGAGGCTGCAGCCATCACAACTACACAAATTTGATCATGTGGCCGTTGGGGATTGTGACAGTTATAAGTGAAAGGACGAGTCATAAGTCACTGTTTTTGGTGCAGTTACAACTTCAAATAGTTGTACGCTGAGGACTACCTGAACTTTATTTTGCAAATTCAGAGTTTTATTGTATTTTATGGCCCCTCATATGTTATGTTCCAAAGGTGCTTTTTCAGGAGGCAACTTTACTTTCTTATTTTTTCTTTGAAGACATTTCACCTCTCATCCAAAGAAGCTTCTTCAGCTCTGTGTCAATGCTGCTAATATTGGATGTTCTTGCTTTGACAACAGATGGAGATGCAGCCTTTTTCTTTCTCATACTGTACTCTTAGAATTAGATGATCTGGGGGAGGGGGAGGCATGTGATGGGAGTTAGTTAGACATACAATACCGTAACAAGAGCTGCTAAAGAATGGCGGGAGAGAAAACTGGGCGGGAAGCCAGCATTTCAAACTAATTGGAGAATGTGATTCATGACGGTTAGTGGTAGGAGGGAATGTGCTTTGATCTATGTGCTGAAGGGAGGGGAAGTCAGATTTTGGGTTCAACTATGTACCTACCAAAGCTATGCTGCTTGATTAAAAACTCTTTAAGGTAAACTAATGCTGTAAAGATCTTTTCTCCATAGGAACCTGGAATGTACAGAGAATGAGGTGGCTGGATGGAGTCACTGAAGCAGTAGGCGTGAACTTAAATGGACTCCAGAAGATGGTAGAGGACAGGAAGACCTGGAGGAACGTTGTCCATGGGGTCGCGATGGGTCGGACACGACTTCGCAATTAACAACAACAACAACAATGCCTCAAAGTTCTTTGAAGAGTTTCATCTTTCAGAACCATGACACTCTGACTGGATGGTGGGGAAGGGAAGGGTTTATATTCCTTGCAGACAGCTGGTCATTTGCATACTTTTAGAGAATCCTTGGGGCCATTTGGAGTTTTACCTGTGTCCTCAGAGTCACCTGAGTAGTGCAGAGGTGTGTGGAGCCTAGGACACAGGGCAGAAAACATCCTGCAGCCAAGAAGGCTCTACAGCCATTTGCACCACACAGGTGACCTTGAGGACACAGATAACCTCCAAGTGGCCTCAATGACTCTCTCAAAGAATGCAAAAGACCAGCTGTGTGCAAGGAGTATAAATCCTTCCATTCCCCACCATCCAGTCAGAGCTGAAGAAGCTTTTTGGATGAGAAGCAAAACTTCTTCAAGGAAAAAACAAGGTGGAGGTTGTCCCAAACAGCACCTTTGGGACAACCTCCACCTGGATGACTGACAATCTCCGTTGACACTCACATGTTAAAATTTCTGGTTACAACAATAAACTTATTTGCTTACTTACTTAACTGCCCCTGTATACACCCTGCCCTGTTATTTTGAGCCACTAAAAGCAATTCTTTCTCAAAATGCAGGCCTCTCTCTCCACAATCTTAACACCACTCTGTACTTACTACCTCAATTTCACATCGCACAGTTACAAAAGAAAACAATCAGATCTCTGGGCTTTTTCAGAACGTGGCTTTTATGGTGTGATTGCTACGTGACATTAGGCAAACCACCCTGGGATAGACCTTTCTAAACAAAATATAGAAAAGCACACTCTAAGCCGCATGCCAGCACTGTGCAAAGTTTTTACTCAAAGGCATCCTACGAAGAAAAGGGGGGGGAAATGCTTCAGAGTATTGATGCAAACAAACTATTAATGCAGAGTGGGATGCTGCTCAGCGTAACTGTCCTGTACAAGCCTGGGAAGAAAAAAGGGAGAAGGGGAGGAAAAACGCCCTTGACCTCCTGCCCAAAGGACAAAGTGAAAAAGCTTGTTGAAGTTAATAAATTACTCATTGTGTGTGTGTGTGTGTGTAGCGGCCCTTCTGAGCTCACAGCCAAGTGTTTTACTCATTGGTGCAACCTCGCAGTCCTGCTCAATTTAGCTCAGGGGTTCTCAACCTTGGCAACTTTAAGACTTGTGGACTTCAACTCCCAGAATTCCTCAGCCAGCTTTGCTGGCTGAGGAATTCTGGGAGTTGAAGTCCACAAGTCTTAAAGTTGCCAAGGTTGAGAACCCCTGATTTAGCTGAAGGCTCCGGAACAAGGCGGCCACAATTTCTCCTCTTGGCAGCCAGACCCTGCTCAACCCCTCCACCTTTCCACAGAGATCTCAGTATGTTGTTGTTGTTAGTTGTGAAGTCGTGTCCGACCCATCGCGACC